CCCCTTACCTTTATCTTGTGTTGCATGAAATTGTGTAGCAGTTTAACTTTTTATTGCTAAAGCCTGCTAGAGACAGGCATGGGTTTCTTTCCTTTGCACTAGAGAGAAGAAACCCACTTTATATAGTATTGCAGTTAAAATGACTGCTTTCCTCTGACTGTATTTATACAGCTCCTTCTCCAGTCTGAGAGGACAATTGTATTAAATTTCTCTCTCTTTCTTCTTCTTTTGTTTGGTTGGTTTTGTTTTTGTTTTTTCCTGAAGTCAGTCTTTACCTGAGCAAACAGTCAAAATGTAGCCTGAGAGTTGGGGTTCTTTTCTGGAGGGGAAAGGAATGTTTTTCTGTTCTGGTGTGAATTATTTTATTATTTATCTTTGCCTTTCCAAAAGGCTCTGGTGAGGCTTCTGATGCAAAATGTTCTCAGTGCCTGTGTCTGGGTTTGGGCTGCCTCAAAAGCTCTAGCTCAGTGTTTTGTTTTTAAGATCCTGGATTCAGATGTCCTATAAAACCCTGATTTGAGACTATATAAATCCATTTTTTCCCCTCCCCTTGTAGCTCTTAGTGATTTTTACAGATGTGTTTTTCAGTAGGGACATGTAATTATGGGCCTCTGGGTTTGGCTGCTCTAAACTGAATGTGTCAGGGCTTTCTCTTTTATTTTTTTCCCCAAGCAGCATTGAGCACCTGCAACTCTCATTGACTTTGGAGTCTTGGGTGCTCCAGATTGCGTTCAGGGCATCCAAAGAGAGGCCTTTCAAACCAATAGCAACTGCTGGAAAACTCTGGCCTGTGTGCAGGGGAGGGAAGGATTATTTTTCTTCTTGCTTTTTAAGATGATGAAGCAGTACTGCAACAGCTTAATCTCTGGGAAGGAAGGGAAGATGAATGTAACATACTGGACTCCAGTGAATGTCACTGCCTAGATTGATTTGTTGGTTAATTATGAGAGCTTTTAAGCTGCAGTCCTGTAATAAGATGAGTGATGCACTGAAGTGAAGCTGTTACTTGACCCTGATGTCTTGTACATCAAATGGCTGTTGCCTTTGCAGGCCAATACTTTTGGTACCCTTTCCCTGAGGTGGGTTATGGTAATAAAGAGGCAAAGGTAGTACAAGGTGCTGGCCCAACACAATTAACTAGGGCATACTTCATCTTCCTAATCTACAAAGCTTCTGTCTGGGTTGCACTTCTGGGTCCTCCTAAATGTAATATTAAGTGAACTGTTTGTTCACAATGGCCTGTGAATTAAACTGGCAGCAGCACTTTCTATAGAGGGACTGACCATAAAGGTCTAAATGACTCAGTAGAAGGCAGAGCTATGTGTGGGAGCTCCTGGCTCAGTGCCACATCCTGAGCACTGGGGGATTTCAGGCCATGTAAAGACCTTTGAAAAACATTGCTGAAGTCTCTGGGGCTACCTGATTTAGCACTGACCTAGAACAGCACTAGGAAACCAGGAGAGCTTTGGGCTTAGTGCACCAATTGACCTGCACAGGAGTTGCAGTAATCTTGCAAGAGATGGGAGGAATTGCTTTGGGAATAGGAGGAAACTGCTGTTCCTCCATTCCTGTGGCTCAGGGGGGAAGTTGGAGCTGATCTGCCAGGACAGTGAGGGAAGAGGGATTGAGTCAGTATAGCTGAGATGCCATTTCTGGATACTGCCCTGCTGGGCTTTTGTTGGCCTCCCGCCCTGAGCATCCCAAGTGATGTGTTCATCCATCCCTGCAAGTGATGGATGTTTGGGTCTGGTTTTTCCCCCTTGGCTGTCCCACCTCCACATGCTGCCAGGTCTCCTTTTGGGACTGTTTCTTCTCTGCTTCTTGGTGCTTGGCTGCTTGCATGGCTAGGACTTGGAAACAGTGGGGTTCATGGACACTCTTTCTCCAATTACCCTGTACGAAGAGGAATGTGAAGCAGCTCTCTGACCAAAGTGAGCTGCATAAAGGGACTCTGTTCTCGGCGATCTTCTTGTCTGATTTTAGAGCGGCAGAGGAATGCTTCCTTCTGTTTGGAGCTGGATATTGTGGGAGTGTGCACACAATGAGCGAAGGAATATGCCAAGGGAGTTGGTAGTTACAGCCTCTAACAAAGGCCAGCTTTATGATACTTGAACAAGCGATGCAATAAATAAGCGTAGATTTCCAGGGTGTGCTGTGAAAGTCTTTTAAGGTAACAAATAGCTTTGAAGTGTTGCCTCCATAGGCACGTGCACTACTCTGTCCTTAAACAAGAGATAAATAGGCACTTTTAAATGTAAGCAGCTCCTAACAAATCAGACCTGTGAACACATCTGCCTTGACCAAAGATTTTCTGGGAGGAGGCTGTTGGGTGTGAGCATGGCTGTCCCACACTGCCCAGCAATAATCCTACAGCTGCCATGTCTCAGGCATGTGCAGGCACAACACAAGTGTGGCCGATCGCAGAAACATTTGGGGAATGCCTCTGACAGCCAACATCACCTCTACCCTGACCTCTGCCTTGCCAGAGTATGTGTCTAGCTCATCCTGTGCTTACCCCTTAGAACAGGGAGAAATTGGATAAGTTCAGAGTTTAATAGGAGTTATGGAAACACTTACTGCTGCAGCTGATACTGGTTGTAAACATTTGAGACCTTCTGAACTAAATGCAATATCGTGGCATATCCTTAGCTAAACAGAAAAGGAGTCTTGTGCTGATCTGGGGCATCTCTGCATGCCAGCCCTGAGCCAGGCTTCCTCTTGTGCAAAGTGCTGTGTAAACATGCAGCTCTTTACCTGGATATTATCTAATCTGCAGTCAGCTCAGGGACCTGGAGCTTCACTGAAGCAGCTGAGGCTCTGTGTAGGCATGGGCATTTGCTGTGGACTGAAATGCCACATGTGCTTTACTTTGGATTTGTGGGGCTTTACTTGACATGCTTCAGAAAGCTGCCTTCATATTTCCAGGCAATTGAATTGTTGTATGACCATCTGTCACTGCTGAGGAGACCCCAGTAAGGAGTGGTTACTGTGGGCATATTCTGTACACTCGCAACAAATGGTCTCGTTTAGGTCTCTCCAAAGACCCTCTGTAGCAAAAAGGGAAGGAATTACTTTTCAGACTCCAATTTGTCGATCCCATTAACCAAGTGAACAGCAACTCATTTGTCACTCAAATAGGCATTACTTTTATGCAAGCATCCGTTGCGTGGTTTTTCTCTCCTCAAATCAAAATAAGGGCAGAATTGCTGCAAGTCTAGTAATGGATATTTGCATGGTACATTACAAACCACAAATTAGGTTAATCCACTCTGCAAACCCTACCAGCTACCATCTGTGCATGGTGAACTAATTAACCCTTGAGACATCTGCTAATCCTGATGTGGCTTGTAAAACCAGTTGGAATATGTTTCTCCCCAAAGACATCCCCCCACCCCTACACCCCTTGCTGGCTAGAGCAAGTTTCAGAGTCCTGGAGTGAGAAAATCTTGCCCTGTTCCCTTGCTAAGAACCTTTCTTGGCTGGTTTCATGACAGAGTTGTTGTCAGGTCCTCAGACATGATGCGTAAGCAAGCATCTAGGTCCTGGTGTTTGGTGGCAGTAGGTTCCACAGCTTTTCCACTCTAAGTCTCAGTACTCCTCAGTTACTGAGAAGGTTCTCCTTGCTTATGGTGGGATCAGACCAGGCAGAAGAGATGCTGCTTCACCTTTGCATTCAAAGCTAAGGCATGGATATCTGCCATCTCCCTTGTAGGTGGCCAAGCCCTGTGCTTACTGCTTTCTGTGTGCACTAACTGGAACACTGCTGGACACCCCCATCTAAAATCATAACAAAAAAACCCCAACCCACTGCTTGCTTACTCCCACTTCTCTGACTGCCCTGCTTGCTGCTGGGGACACAGCTGTCTTCAAGCTGCTGCTCAGTGACTTTCTCTGCAACCTTGTTGCTATTCAGTAGGATGCTCCTCCAAGTGAGGAGGAATAAACTTTAAAAAAAAAAAAAAAAAAAAAAAAAAAAAAAAAAAAAGAAAAAAAAAAAAAGCTTATGGCTTCATCAGTCCTGCAGTGTCCCCTTTCTCTAGTTGATTGGAGCCTGCCTGCATCAAGATGACTGTACTTTGGCTGAATCTGCCAGCTGAAGTCTATTTAAATAGCCCCTGTAATTAAGCACTTAGAATATTAACTTAACAATTTGGTCCAAGCCAGTGTTGCCTCAGTGAGGATGCTGATGAGTCTTGGCTTCCTCAGCAAAGAGAACTACCCTTCAATTTGGTTCCCACGTCCAGTTTTTGGATTAGCAGAATATGGCAGCACCCAGACAACAATCTCTGCTTCCTTTCCCTCCTGTAATCTAAAACTAGGAAGGATGTATCTGCTGGCAAGTAAATAAAAACTTCAGAGTCCATTGGAAGCTACTTCACAAACTTTTTATAGAAACATCTGTAATGCTCTCTTCTCTCAACGGGAAAATTAAGTCGAGTTGAGAGAGTTGCAACAATGACGGAAGTGGGGCCTCCAAGTGAGAAACAAGGGGATCATTGTAACAACACCAAGGGCCCTCATGGCTGATCACTTTGTGGGGTTGCTGCCTTGGGCTTATGGGTGGAGCTGACAGCAAGAGCGGTTTATTTAGTCTAATTTCTCATTACTAGGGAAACCCTCTTCCTTGCTTTCACTTGCTGAAGTGTGCTGTCAGCTTCAGGGGGATGCCTTAATTGCTGTTTCTTTGAGTTATCAGGGATAGTTTTTTTTCTGCTTCCTTTGTAATTATGAAGGGAAATGGCTTAACTTCTGGCTTTTTCTGTCTTTACAGCTGAGCTATGCTCATCACTTCAGAGTTTAACCTTTCTGGTCCTGTCACACTGCATGTGTCTAGCCTGCACTTACTGCTCCATGGCATGTCTTTTTTTTTTTTTTTTTT